AGTTCACATAAAATCTTTAAAAGTATGTTATTGTTTAAGACTTAAGCTCTAAGCAACAAAATTCTTGATTTTATTTCTAAGGCTACATAGAGCCACACCAACACTGTTCGTTTAAGCCGAAACTATTCGACAAACAACAACAATCATTGATGGACTTGATCAAATCCACACACGGATTAAAGCAAACAACAACACCTTAATAAATTAATAAGATTCTTACAAACATCATAAACAACGGACACAAGAGTCCGATCACGATTCTCTTATTAACAGTGAATATCGTTAATATTGTCAAGTAAATTTGATCAATTATTACTGTAACATTTATTCTACGCAGATTTTCCATCCAATCTTTTCAGTCACAGTCTAAGAATCAAATAAATCTTATGCTCTGATACCAATGAATGAATAAATCGTGGAGCGAGAACAAGGAATTGTGTACCTATTTGACGCAGCGGAGATCGATGAACTCACTACCAAAAAAATTACTCCAAGTCGGACTTCGATTCACTAGGAAACGAAGTTTATTCTTCACGAACTAAATGTCTCACCATCTTTTGTGTGTATTTAGAGATAATCAGAAGAGAAGGATTTTTGGTTCAGAAGAATCAAACCGAAAGGAGTGATTTTTCTTTTCTGAACCTCTTTATATTAACCGTGATTATGGTAACCTCCTTAAAATCTATATCTTATAAATAGGTATTGGACTGGGTCTGCCCACATAAAGCGACCTAAGATCCAATATCCAACAATTACACTTTTTGACATATAATTACATGCACTTAGTGATAATCCGAATTCAAATATTAGTATTTGCATAAAAAAATTGCGGATTTCAAACTTGTGGCACTGCTTAATAATTTTTGTTCTATTAGCTTTTTGATAATTTTTCTGCAGAAAATCGTTTATATGCATAATCTACGTATCATTATTGAACTCATAAGTTAAAAAATTGACACAAGTTGACCAAAAGAGAGAGAGAGAGAGAGAGAGAGAGAGAGAGAGAGAGAGCGCATAGAATTTTTGGAAAATGACTTTGCTCCTTCCTCATGCTAGAAGAAATTAAAGAAAAAATTATTCTTGAGGAAAATATTTTTTAAAAGATTTAAATCAAATTGGAAATGTTATTCTCCATACCACTCCCTAAATATATAGAAAAGTATCGAATTTTTTAGATGAATAAGAATTTGTAGTCAATTGAACTGAAATAAAAGGAGTATAAATAAATTAGGCAAAATAGCCTCCGGGTCACTTAAACTTATACCCATTTGTCAATCCGGTAAATGAACTTATAAGTTTCCAATTTGAACACTTGTACTTGATGGAATGAATACCAATAAACACCTCCAACTGAGCGTGTTACTCAATCGATATGACCGACTAACACATCATATTCTTAACATATTATTGTTTGACATTTGACATGTGTAATTTGTAGGTCCCAATATCTTTTTAACAATTTATTAAAAAAATTAAAACCTTTTCCTTTCTTTTCTTCTTCTTCACCATGGCAGTACCAGCACTACATGTTTCATCCACCATGAACAGTGAACACAGAACACCACCCTCATCCACTCTAAAATCCCCTAAATCTGTAATGAACACCATCCTTCTTACTCTAAAACTCCCAAATGAATAAAAAAAGTAAAAAGAACACAAACAAAATCAGTAAAATCTAAAAACTCCAGACGAATCAGTAAAAAGAACTATCTTCCATTATCTTCTCCAAAATTATCTTTGAAAATTCCCAACATCCTCCAATTCTAATTCTACTTCTTCCTTTTACGTTTTCTGAACAGAAATTTTAGAGAGAGATTCAAAATCTCTGAAAACTTCGATTGAAATTTTGTTCTTTAAATTTTTTCTAACCAGCATTTTCCTCTTTGAATTGTGGTCATGTCAGGTTTGTTAAAAAGTAGTTGGGGGGGGGGGGAGTGAAATCAAAACTGTTACATTCATGCACCTCTGTATCGTGGTCTGCACGTATTTGAGCCACATTATTTAAATAGTTTGCAAATGTTCAAATGAGAAACTTGTAAGTTTAGTTACCGGACTGATAAATGGGTACAAGTTTAGGTAGCCGAGAGACCATTTTGCCAATAAATTATAAGTGTGTTGTGTTAGTGTCGCGACCTAAAATCCCTCTGAAGGAGTCGTGATGACACCTAGTCTCTAAATTAGGTAAGCCTAGCATTAACAGAAATAACATTGACATTCACTAGCTTCAGATTAGATAACTCTGAACAATTACAATTCCCAAAACCGGTAGTACAAGCCATAAGCCGTTCTAGGAGTAGTTATACATAATAAATACATCACTGTTCCAGGACAAAAAGGAACCAATGGAAATAAATACAAATGAGTGACTCCGAGGCCTGCGAACGCAGCAGCAGGTTTACCTTGAGTCACCATCGCGACGATCCACACAGCTACTATCGATCAAATACCTGGGTCTATACAAAAAAAGTACAGAAGTGTAGTATGAGCACACCACAACGGTGCCCAGTAAGTATCAAGACTAACCTCGATAGAGTAGTGACAAGGGACAGTCAAGACACCTACTGGTCCAATAAATTGAACATGATATATTAACAAACTAACAATGGTACAGACAACAAAGTAATACCAATAACGGGGAGAAATCATACTACAAACAGGAGAGACAATTAAAGGGAAACACGGAGGGTAACGTAAGATAACCAAGTAAATTAACACCAACATAGCTGGGACACAGACAAGTAAAAATGTGCTCAAATTAGGAAGGCGATGTTAACTCAATCAATTACAACATTTCTGATACACAATTCCAACCATCTCAAAACTCGATGTCTCATATCATAACCTCAATTTCCAAACCTTTAGCACACACGGCACCTTGTGCCCACATATTTCTATCTCACTTTGCACAACGTCATCCTCATGCTACTCAGTACATAGGGTCCATAACCAATGCAATTAAGATGTTCAAGGAGTCTCATTTATATATCATAACGTAAATTACAGTTTCTAAACCAATTAGGAAATCATCAAGAAAAGATGAAGTTATTTTTAAAAATCATTTGAATAAAGGTAATACCCTTTTCAAATAAAATACAACGTCGAATGAATTATTACCTTTAATATAGGATTTAATAAATTAAAATTAGTAGAAATTTCTTTTTAAGTAAAATTTGATCTCAAACGGTTAAGGAGAACTTAGTTGAGAAACTAATTGAAGTAAAATATAACAATTATTGGAATTTGAAGTATTGAAATGTGTATAATTTGAAGTATTGAAATGTGTGTGTGTGTGTATATATATATATATATATATATATATATATACGGCAAGTTCAAATTCAAAAGTCATATGAAGCAGCATAGTATAAATTCCTTTACTTTAAATCACTATGTTACTAACAACTTAGCAGGACAGGAGGAAATGATTCAACGTGATAAATTTACTTTGGAAATTGATAACTTGCAGAAATAAATACATAACTCAAGGGTCTTATCGGTATTCAGCTATAACCAATCCCTAAGTGAGAGGTAAAACTACCGAATAATTTACACAGTCAGAGAGGAGTACATAAGTACATATATTGATGCGGCGCGCATCCCGATCCCACCAATCCTCCCTTATTTCTCCGTAGCATTTACACTAAAAGCAAATAGTATATATATGTTGTGGCGTGCAAACCCGATCCCACCATATCAGTAACAACATGATCATTCACTCTTATTACTCCTTGTTGCGGCGTGCAACCCGATCCCACCAGTCCACCCTTATTACTCCTCAATATATCACCTTTATTCCTCCTATTGCAGCGTGCAACCCGATGCCACCTGTCCACCCTTGTTACTCCTTGTTGCGGCGTGCAACCCGATCCCACCAGACAATATCAATTCTCCCTTATTCCTCCTCAACATATCAACAACCAGACATAGTTTAAATCAACAACAACAATTCAACAACCAAGTACAAGAATTTCTACCACCAAGAGTATGAGTACACGGTAACAAGAGAATCACGGAAAAATCGAGAAGCACAACAACCTTTGCAAAAGCAACAAGACATGTAAGGCACGTGATAACTACATATGCAACCACAACTATTTGGACACGTAGCACATATATGCACGGGGTCGTAGAAGAATTCACAATTAAGAAATAACAAAACAATAAGGAGGACAATCACTTCAATTAAGGCAAATAAGGGCCAAGCAACAAGTAAGAGTTAGAGGAAAGCTAACAACGTCGTATAGAGCATGTAGAGGCAAAACTAGCAATTAGGAAACCCAATCACATCGGAAAACTTCCCACTTAATGAATATAAGGACCTAAGAACCCTAAAGGAAAATTTCCACAAATAAGTCTGAGCACGCACTCGTCACCTCGCATGCACGGGCTACAATCATATAGGACTCAAATCCTAAGGGAAAGTCCCTCGCACAAGGTTAGGCAAGATACTTACCTCAATCCGGCCAATTCAATATTCAAATTAGCTTTTCCTTTACCAATTCATCAACGCTCGGCTCAATCTAGCCAAAAACGACTTAAATACATCTAACAATGCAAGAGAAAATAATTTCAATTAACAAGGCTATGATTCTTATCCAATTTGCAAAAAGTAAACTCCCCGGGCCCGCACCTCGGAACCTGACAAAATTTACAAAAACCGAATACCCATTCCGATATGAGTTCACCCATACAAAAATTATCAAATTCCGATACCATTTGGTCCTTCAATCATCATTTTACATTTTCGAAAGATTTTACAACTTTTCCCCAAATTTTCCTTTAGATTCTCATAAATTTGATGTTAAATCTAAGATATAATCACAAAATATAGTTAAAAATTGATTAGAGACACTTACCCAATGATTTGGTATGAAAATCCTCTCTCAAAATCGCCTCACCTCGAAGCTAGGGTTCAAAATATGGAAAAATGAAGCTAAGATTCGGATTGCCCAGCTTTTAGCAGGCTACAAAATATCGCATTTGCGACACTGGGTTCGCAAATGCGAACTCGCAAAAGCGAAGAAATCTTCGCAAATAAGAAACCTGGATTTACCCTGTCAACATCGCAACTGCGATGAAAAACTTCGCAAATGTGAAGGGCCTTCGCAAAAGCGGCCCAACACTTCGCAAATGCGAACCTCCCCTGCCTAGATCGTTTTTCGCGTTTGCGAGACTTTTCGCAAATGCGATCCAATGTCCGCAAAAGCGGTGGTCGCAAATGCGACCCATAACTCGCAAATGCAAGATCAGACTGCAGCAAATCAGAAATTCCTTCCAAACACTCCGAAACGCGTTCGAAACTCATCCGAGCCCTCGGGGATCCAAACCAAACACCCACACAAGTCTGAACACATAACACGAACTCGCTCGCGCGATCGGAAAATCAAAATAACCTCTAGAACCACGAATCGGATGCCAAAACGCATGAAAATCATATGAACTTCAAGAACTTCTAGAATTGCAACCAAGCGTCCGAACCATATCAAATCAACTCCAAACGACACCAAATTTTGCAGGCAAGTGCCAAACGACATAACGGAGTTGTTCCAACTTTCAGAATCGCATTCCGACCTCGATAACACAAAAGTCAACTATGGGTCAAACTTCTCCATTTTCCAGACTTCAACTTTTCCAACTTTCGCCGAAATGCCTCAAATTACTCTACGGGCCTCCAAATTCGAAACCGGACGCACTCCTACGTCCAAAATCACCATACGAAGCTACTGACATCATCCAAAACTCATTCCGGAGTCGTTTACTCAAAAGTCAAATTCCGGTCAAATTCTCACCGCTTTAGCTTCCAAAACTAGATTCCTTCTTCCAATTCGACTCCGATTCATCCGGAAACAGAATCCAACCATGCACGCAAGTCGTTACACATAATATGAAGATGCTCGTGACCTCAAACTGCTGAACCGGACGCAATCGCTCAAAATGACCAGTCGGGTCGTTACAGTTAGTGAAGCAAAAGAAAGCTAGCAATTTCATAAATATAATCGACTAAAATGACAGAACTAGAGTGAAAATAAAATTTTGTCTGAATTGAGGTATAGTATGGTTATTTTACACCTAGGCTCTTAACGGTGGAGTTTGACTGACATCTGGACTATAAATTTGGGGGAAAACGATTTTCGTCAAAAGAACAGAAAAAGGGTGAAAAACCAGACCCAAAAGAGCTCACACACTGAGTTCAAAATCAAAAGAGCTAAGTCAGTAAAAATGTCTACTCTTCAACATGCAGCTTCAGGGGCTGCAGGTTTTTGCTCGAGGCAGCAAAAGCCACAACCCGATCTCCCAAAGCAGCATCTTCTTCTGTTTCCAAGAATAAGGCTGCTGCTACAACCTCGAAATCGTCGACCTCAGCAGGGAAGCAGGGTCGTTCTCCTTCAGCTCGACCCACTGGTATTTTAAAGGTAACCCCTGTTTCTCCCACACTTCATAGCTTTCTTGGAGTTTCTGAGACTTCTCGGGGCGATGCTGTCAAGAAAATCTGGGATTACATCAAACTCCACAATCTTCAGGTACCCTTTTTTCTCTAGATATACTATTTGAGTATATTTACTCTTCGATTAACTCTAGAATTTTATATGGCGTTGTTTGACTAGACATATATTTTAGGAAAAGAAATTTTTTTTTTTTTTTTTTTACACATGGGTGAAATATATATAGTACTACTAGTATAATTTCTCAAAAGTACCAGTGGTGCTCGACATGCTATGCCAATTCCTGTAAGACAAGCTGTTAAGGTTAGTGAGAAGGTTAAGATTAAAGAGTTTCCAAATGTAGTAAGGTGTCTATCTTTTCGGAGCAGCTCAACGACGAAGAAGTGTCATATTAAATAGAAATGATATGTACTAGTGTTACTCCCTGGGGGTATTGCAGTAATAATATTGCTGGTGTTGGAGCTAAAAGGTTGCTGTTTGGCCTCAAGAATGCTCCGTTTGATATTACATTTTGGCACTCTTTTAGTTCCTCTAAGGATTTCAAATCTGTTGAATTTTGTGCTTTCTCCGGTATGAAATGTGTGCATGCTGAGCCTCTAGGTTTATGATATCCTAACCTATTTGAACTTGAACCATCAAAAGTACCTTTGGTTGTGCCCAGAAGGCAGTTTATTTCCCTTGGTAGCACTTAGGCATTGGAATAGTCTGAAGTAATATGACTTGCAAAGCAAGGTTGAGCAGCTGACTGTCATCACAGATAGAAATAAAACTATAGCTGTGAATATGCTGGTGAATGTATGACAATATTAAGCAGGGGCGAATTCGTAAGGGAGATTATGGGGCACGTGAACCCATGGTCTCTCCGCAAAATTAAATATTTTATGTACATATTCTTTAAAATTGATATAATATTAACTTTGGCAACCATGCTCCAAGAAGGCTGAATGATGTACTTGGTTGAAGGTTGAGTTATTTACCAATAGGAATAGGGATCAATTTCCATATAATATATTTTTTCCTCCTTTTTATAGTAGTGAACCCATGTACTAAAAATCCTAGATGCGCCTCTGATATTAAGACATGAAAACTCCAGGTCTCTGTTTCCTGTCATAAATTAGTTCAAGCCTGCTAGGCTGAAGAGGAAACAAACCTGTTTAAGGAACAAAATAGATACTGAGTTGTGCCAAGTCTCCCATTGTTTTTGTTAACTGGCTCAGAACATTTTTTGTCAGCCTTTCCCGGCCCATTATGAGAAATTCATTATCTACGGACTCATTGTTCTTTATTGCTGTTGATCTCATTATCTCCTGTCAACATCACCTGGTTTAAATCTTCTTCTCTATCAATCGTGCTAGTTTAAACATTTCTTTATCCCCTTCTCGTGTTCCTAGCTTTTGATACATGGCATCTAGGGCTTCCCCTCCAGCTTTACTAATAGCCTTCTTAGCTTCGCTCATAGCTCTCTTATACTCTTTAACTTTTTTTCTGTAGTGAGAGTGCTAAAATAGGACTACTCTTTTTCTTTTCTTTGATAAGTGAATGGGAGATAAAGTCGCTACCTAGCAAATGCTTTAGATGACTCCATCCAAACCAGTTACAGAACTAATATTGAAAATATGCATCTTTTGCCTTTGCCAGATGTCTATTCTATTGCTATGTGCATAATAAAGGGAAATAATGCTTAGAGTTCTCCGGAGGTTAATTGCTGATTGCTGATTGCTTTTCCCCATTGGAATAATATTTCTTCTGTCTTTATTTGACAAATAGCAAAGCATTTCTTGCTTTTAGAGCTGTAGTACACATAGTACACAGACTCGTAGTATCATCTCTCGAAAATTCTCAATTTTCCTCTGCCTGCAGGACCCCATGAATAAGAGGGAAATCAATTGCGATCACAAGCTCAAAACACTATTTGGAGGGAAGGACAAAGTGGGGTTTCTAGAGATTTCCAGGTTGCTGTCTGCTCATTTCGTGAAGCCTAACTGAAGTAGTCGTGAAATCATCCATGCTTGACTCTTGATATTGTACATAAACTACTTTGCCTTTTGACATTAAACTCTGATTTGCAACTTGTGTGCTTAGTTTGCTAGATGGACATCTTGTAAAAAGTAAAGTAGGAAGAAGCAGAAAGAGTAGCGGCTCATAAACAATGTATGTTCATTTCTTACTTCAGTGAAATGTAATGAATGTTTTTCCTGTATCTTCCATTGCATACATAAGTGACAGTTAATGAAACATGATAACAAAGAATTTTCAACAGCTCATAGAAAGTTATGACTTTCGTCAATCTTACTGCTGATTAAGATTGGAAAGCATAATAACAAGCAATCAAGCATAGGGGTAATTCATAACAGCCTTTAGGAAGATCTCATTAATTGGCTCACAATGTGATTACGAACGATACTCTCCATTTGCCACAAATAATGCATTTTGTGAACAATGTTATCCATTTGTCACAAACAATAGGGTAAATTTGCTGTATATTTACCATGAACTTTACAGTCAGACAAGCAGGTGTCGGATCCATTGTTCGACAACAGCAGGAGAACCATACCATGGTCTAGTAGCATCATCAGAACCAACAGGGGAATGGTAAACTCCATCCAGAGTGATATTAAGTGCACCTTTCAGATGAGCTGAAACTTCTGGTACAACTCCATCACCCCAGACATCTGCCTGGCCGCAAACCTGACAGATTACCAGATTGTTAGATTACTTAGATAGCAGATACTATGTGCTCGTGTATTACTGAAACTAAATAAAATATAGACTGGTAAATTGAGCAATATTGAACTCAAGGGCGCTTGTGTGGTATAAACCTGCTTGTAGCCTTGACCAACAAACCGTGCACGGAAAGTGGAAGCTGTTTCTGGATTTGTGTTGCTTACAGCAGCAACCTCTGACGTTGGCTGGTCAACACTAGCTTCCAAATCAGAACTGTATGTTGAACTTGAACCAAGGAAACGAGACCCTTGAATATACCTATACAAGTGAATCCATTAAAGTTTTACTCAGCAAGGCTCTAAGGTAAGAAATAATTCCTAATCCCAGAAGATACGAAAAACGCTAGGGAATTTCATCCCATCTGTCTAAACTTTGCTAGCGAATATCTGCGCTGATAGGATTTAGCATGTATCGAATAGTTAAGGTGCATGCAAACTAGTACGGCCACCAACCGTTATAAAAAAGTTAAGAAATAATTCCTTAGACAACATCCATGTTTTATTTTAATATTTTTTCTAATACACATGAAAAATTGTAGATAGTTTTAGCTTCTTGAGAATTATATCCGACCTTGTTCAGTACAATTTAAGTGCAGTCTATATGTCAATAAGCAAACCAAGCAGGAAGCAACCCTCAAGCAAGGTAGTACTCATTCCCACGGTTTTTGGGTGCTTCATTGTTAAAATGCATGCGCAACTGGGCAATGTTATATTACTTCATCTCTTTATTGTTGTGTGCTGACACTCTTTGCAGATTATACAGAGCACAGACTCAGTCAACTCCTTCAACAGGCTAATCCTACAGCTTCAAAAAGAAGACTGCAACACCTAATCAGCATTTGGATAGGAGCTTCCACAAATTCTTCTGTAATCAAGTGTGTACTTTGGTTGTAATGCTGTAGCCTGTAGGAAGACAGTTTCTGCTAGTAAATGCTCCCTAGTCGCTATTATACCATAATATGTCGCATTTTATTAGATTTTGCAGCATTGAAATCTATGCAGTATATACTATATACCCTCCCAGATGGGATTGTTCCGCTGTTGTTAGAGAACATGAGCTGAACAAATTAAAGGAAACCCTTTCCAAAATCAAGCTAAAAGGTGAGTTCTATCTATTTGCAAAGCACAACTGTAATGAGTGAAGAAACTTTAATACATCCTATCTATAAAAAAAAACTTTAATATATCCCTTTTTTGGATAATTAGAAACTTCAATACATCATTATTTACTGCCGTAATTACTATTGCAAATAAAGCAGACAGTTAAGTTTGTTCAACAATCCCTTTCACTATCATTGGTCATTAAAAGAACTAAATGAAGTAAATGCGTCATTGCAGTGAAAACATCATTCACAAGAAGTACCAGAAATCAAGCACATGAACAGAACACCAAAATTTGATATTACCTCCCTGCTATACATACATATCTAAGTTGTGGAGAATAGACAGCTTTTGCACAATGTTCTTCAACGTAATACAAGAGGCCTCTTGTTTGGTCAATTACTCCTGGCAAACCTTTAGGTGGTGGCCTAATGAAACCAAATAATACCAGTGTTAGACTTATGCAGAACAATCTCCCTAAGATATTCCATCTATTAAATCTAGTAGTAATAGTTGCATAGATATGATGAATGAATGAATTTATACATACAGATGGGGGGTTCCTAGAGTCAGTAACAAGGAAACATCTGAGAAGCCAAATTCCTGCAAATAGACACGTGCGAGCCATCCTCCAGCTGAATGCCCAATAAAAGATAAAGTTCCATTCCCACCTACAACAAATGTAGCCTGATTATGGGACTGCAGCATGTCCTGTTAAGTAAAGAGGGTTGTGTAGGTCAATCAAGGATTGGTGGTCATATGTATAGAATGTGTAAAATAAATCGCCAACAACTATTATAGCTATAGGAAGTGCATAGAAAGCTGGAGTTTTATCCTAGGAAAATGAAGTAGAGAAAAGTAAGGACGTGGCAATAAGGTTAACCAAAATCAAGTATTTTCTTGGGGTGAAGTATGTTTGGACTTGCGGCGACCTTGAATGTGCAGATAGGACAGAGAATAGTGCCTAATGTTCAATGTCAGAATGCGCAAATTTGGTCTAAATCAGTGATCAAGTCGGAGAATACATTCATCTAAACAAGCTGGAATGCCAGAATACATATCATGTTTGTATTGAGAGATGTACTATATACTACATAAATGAAATAACAAGACCATAACCAGTCTACAAGTAAGTTTAAGTTAATGATTATTAATTGCAGTTACAGATCCAGCATATAGAAAGAGACAGTAAAATGACTTATCGTGACCATATACACATGTTATTAGATTGTGTGAAAATGTGTAGCCTAACAAGCAGGCACAACAAGGAATTGAAGATTTACTTGGACTACAATGTACATGATGCTAGGGGTCAACACTTTGCAAGCAAGAAGGTCTGTCAAGGCATTTGAAAGGAAAGTAGACCAAATGTGAAAATAGATAAGGAAAAGAACAGAAGGAAAGCGAATTAAATGAAGAACCTTGAGCCAATTCTTTTGCTTCACTGACTGCTTCATCAATTCTTTTGAGGTACCTGGCCAAATTTTTTCCTTAATGTATAAGAGAATATGGCTTGATAGCTGCTAAGCATAAAAATTTGTAAGGATTATTACCAATCAAGCACCGGACGAGGACGAAGAGTGCCACGCCAATAATTTGAGTCCAATAAACCAGCAGCATTCCTCAGCCAATCAATTCTTGAAACTTTTGCTATTGCTGTTGGTACTCCATACTCTTTCAATATAAGAGCCAACTTCTCATAGTCATTTGAGTTGTTCCCTAAACCCTGAAGAAGATAACAAATGATATACCCAATTATCAGTTACCGCAAAAGGTATCTCCTTACCCATGGCTCAAGTCTGAATAATACTCTACAACCTGTCCCTCCCCAGGGGCGAAGCTACACTTGACCACCCTTCGTCAGAAAATTATACTGCTCTATAGGTAAAATATTAGGTTTTAAATGTATATAACATATGTTGAACACCCTTTGTTTTTTTTTTTTTAATGTCTTTCAAGTTTGAACACCTAGAGAAAATTCCTGGCTCGCCACTGCTCCTCACATTAAAGGAATAAAAAGAATCCGAGAAGGCTGATATAGCACAAATTCAACATAGTAACAAATAGATAGTCAATATAATTGATTAGATTTACACAGTTAAAGACCAAGCTTTTACTCAAAATTTGGAGTTCCTGTAACTTTGGAACTCAATTTTCCAAGAAACTGGGATAATAGCAACAACATTGGATTCCTAGGGAGGAAATAAAATATACAGACAAAAAGGGTGAGAATGAGAATGTAGAAAGGGATGCAAACCGGAAGAATAACAGCAGGGCGAATGGGGGAAGAAGTGGTTGTTGTTGGCAAGTCAGTAGCTTGAGAAATAGCAGAACAGCGTTTTGGAGTAGCATTAATGAATGTGTACGGTGAAATGGAAGATGACCATGTTACAGCCATAGCCATCTTCCCCCACTTGGCTTCTTCAGCCCACAAACGTTTTAACCGCTTTATTTGTGCAGTTTTGTGGTCCTCATTTTCCCACGGTTGTTTCTTGCTTCAAACTTGATAGGCCTGTGAGTCTGCTATATTATACTACTACTTCAATTATACTTTTATATCTGAGTTTAACTTTGTGCACACAGAAGAAGATGACACCATCAAATTAAACTGACACTTAACAACATAGAGTAATTGTGTATTGTCATTGTCAGCCTAATTTTCTAATTTAGACAATAAAGTAAATGATGTAACTTTTTTATATACTACTATTGTATAAAACATCATGAACTCTAAAGTATGTAAGTTAAATTCAAAATAAAGAAACCAAAGTTTGACGTTAGCTATTCGAGAAAATGACGAATGATGGTCCCTTATGTTTTTGAGATAGGTTCAAAATAGACTCTTAAATATTATTTGAGTAATTCTGGTCTTTAAATTTGTCAAAAGTATATATTCTTTTCTCCTTTAAATATTTAACAACTCTTTCCGTTAGATTTAATAAAGGAGATTTTGGAAAAAAAGATTAATGTGAACTCACAATTGAAAGTGTAGTTTTTGCTATTTTTTTTTTTATTTCTTTTTTTATGTCTGGTGTAGTTCTTAAGTGCACTTTCTGCTATTTTTGGTCCATTTTCAATGTTTTATGTAGTTTTTGCTGTTACAAATTTTGGGATTTGACAGAATTTTCTCGATTTTCTGGTTAATTTTATAACAGTCCCATTAAATATAACATTAGAATTTAGACATAACCAAAAGTGCTCACTTTTCTCAAACTTAAAGGACTGAAACTGTTGAAAATATATTTAAGGTAGTTTTTTGAATCTACTCCAAACATAAGGGACTCTTTTGTCATTTTCTCTTATTTTCCGGGAAGAATACAAACCCACTTTATACCCGACCCATTAATCTGTGGAGCGGAACAAGTTTCCCTCAATATTCTTTGTTTAGGCGGTACCAAAATTCTCAATTTTCTTCCTGCTTTTCTGGCTTCATTGATTCTTCATTTTTTCTATTAAAAAAGGCGTCGGTTTTTAGGCTTTTTTACTTCATTTTTTTTATCAGTCATGGCGACGTTGGTACGATCAGTTGCCCGTAGTTTGAGGAGAAAGAACTTGTCCTCAATGTATTGCCCCACCTCCACATTGCACTCTCACGCCACCAGTTTTGGTCAGTTTTATCCTTATTCTCTTGCATATAGAATTCAATTTTTTTGTTCAATTCTCATATATACTATTGTTTATTTACTGTTAATGATGATGATTTGGGTTGAGCTAAATGTAAGGAATGATGATTCATATCACCCAACCCATCTTGTTCGAAACTGAGGCGTGTAGTTGTTGTTGTTGTATTGTTTATTTACTGTTGAATTTTGTGTATGCATATTTACATCTTCTATAATTTCTGTGGTTGTATGTGGGTGCATTATAAGGAGTATTCTTATTTTCAAATGAATGTTACTGCGCAACTTGCTTATGCTTTCATCTAACTATGGAATCAAGACCCATATGAACTAGTGTTGGTGGGTTTTTATTGAGAAGGCGACTTTTTAGCCATAATGGTTTTTGAACTTAGAAGAAGAGAACATTTTTGGATGTATTGTTTTTGAGCATAGACAAAGCATTCTCTTTTCTTTGGTTTTTCTTTTTCAACCTTTTGGGTGGGAAACATGAGTTTTTGCAGCTTTCTGCTGTTTGAGCTAGCCATTTCTTGAAGTTGATGACTAATATCTTTGGTAAACCGCTTATTTTATCACTTTTGGGAAGCACATGTAAACGGTAAAAAATATTTGGATGATTCTTGCATTATAGGATGACCAAAATTTAGCATTTTTTAAACCATGATTAGCGAATAGATCATCAAACTTTCAAGACACAAGGCAGAAATACAAGATAAAATTAAAAGAAATAGGAATGGAAGAAGGTTAACCTCCTTCCTGCTACCCCTTAAGGAGATATTGCTAAACAGAGAGATTGATGACTGTGCGGAAGGTGGTCTGTTCTCCTCCCCGTGTCCCTACTAAAGGTGAAGGGGTTATCAGGTAATGGGGTTCTGTTGCATAAATAAATTTCCCAATCTTTCCATTGGTTGGTTGAAACAATCCCATGCCGGCATTACTTTGTTTGAGATTTATATTTGTGTTTATGGTATAGTTAGGAATCTCAAGGTTTGCGTTCCAGGTTTTAAGGAAGTACCAGAAGAAGAAAAGAGCAAGATGGTTGGGAATGTCTTTACCAGTGTTGCTTCAAACTATGATCTCATGAATGATCTAATGAGTTGTGGACTGCATCGTTTGTGGAAGGACAGGTTAGATCCCCACCCCGAAGACAGGAAAAGTATCAGATTTGAAATGGAAACATTTCCTGATTATATCTTTGTTTCCTTTGTTCTTTGTTTCTTGCCAGATTGGTTTCGAAGTTGAATCCATTTCCGGGAATGAAGCATCTTGATGTGGCTGGTGGAACAGGTGATGCTTTTGGTGTTGAACATTGATCTGTGCTATGTGATTATGTAAAGCTTGGATTTAAAAGAATGAAAGCACCATTGATTGGTGATACTAGTGAACAAAAATGCTTTTAGCAGATCAGGAGAGGGTAGAAGTAAAAAAGTTTGTCTTTGAAAATTTCTATTTTAATTTCAAATGGAGGAGCGTTGCAAAAAGATCTCCATTTTATTTGCACCTTCGTCAGCTAACTATCTAGCTAGAATTTCTTGTCTTTATGGAGGTAAAGAACAGAATTATAAACTTTGAACCCTGGAGCTGTCTGTCCATGTTTTCCGTTGTTTCAACCTGAATTAAGTACTTGGTCCAATACTTCTATAAGTCTTTCTTTTATGTATTTTCTTTTTTTAGAAATCTTTTTCGATCTATGTCTCTCGAGATCCGTGTAGACTTAGAGAAAGATAGGGCATAGTGAAGGAAAAAGATCTATATAAGCGAGGCCTATTAGTTGAGAATATGTTTTAGTTATGTTAGGACTTTTACTTTACGTCTTATGCTTTTGTAGGAGTGGTTTAGCCTTTCGGAGATTTATATGTTAGTCGAAATATAAAGAACTTTTATTATTACTATTATTATTATTATAATTTTTCTGTGTAATACTGGCATGAGATGAATTTATAAAGTAATATGGTCAGCGAGAATTCATATAGCCGACCACAACTTGTTCGGGATTGAGGCTTAGTTGTTGTTGTCGTTGTTGTTTTACATCTATGTTGTCTCTAGTATCCTTTTTTTTTGGGGGGAGGGGGGAGGGGGGGGGTGTGGTGTTTAAGGGGAGGGAGAGATAAGTCTTAATAAGCAATCAAAGCCAAACGATCCATTTTTTTTTGAACTTTGTTATCGATGACTGAACTTGTGATTGGCTGAATTACATTCATTTGCATCTGCAGTGAATTACGTAAATACCCACTGGCATGCTCAATTATTTGGGTTGGTTTTAGCTTGGATGTTTAGGTGATGGGATTTAGCATTTTATGGTTCATTCTCCCGTATGGTCTTATCCCACTTGTCTTGGACACAACGTATAAATTCTGTTGCCTGTTTTTCTTTCAGTATGTTCTCTTCATGTATTGATAAATTATGCATGTATTTCTACCTATCCACTTGAGTGAAAAACTTTCCTTATTTTACAGGGGATGTTGCTTTCAGGATCCTTGAAAATATTAAAAATGTCAAACGCAGAGCTATGCAAGATGCTCTTGATGATGACCTGATTGAAGATACTAGAATTTATGTGTGTGACATCAATGCAAACATGTTGGGAGTTGGTAAGAAGAGGGCCGAAGAGAGAGGTAAAAGCCTTTATTTTTGCTTTATCTTTTTTGCACTCCATGGATAGTTGGATCTCAATTTGGGGTTTCTAGTAGAGAAAGTTTAAGTGAATTCTATTGTTAGACCTCGTTTTTATCATTTTTCTAACATATGCAGGTTTTGGACGGGAGAAGTCTCTCGTTTGGGTGGAGGGAGATGCAGAAGCCTTGAGCTTCGAAGACAACTCAATGGATGGTTACACGATTGCTTTTGGTATCCGGAATGTTACACACATAGAGAAAGTTCTTGCAGAAGCATATAGGTAATTTCACTGAGATATTTATTTCTTTTATGTGGTTGAAAGGATTGAAATAGGGATAACTTGGTTGATTTATAGGATCGAATGAGTGTTCATGAGTTTTTGATATTTATCATTATGAGTTTAGAATGTTTATCTGGATTATCTTCTTTTCTTCTTAAAAGTGTATAGAACGGGATGGCCCCCAGGGCTTAGTTCAAGTGGCAAAGGTTGAGGGATTTGTGACTTAGTCCGTTGTTCGAGCCTGGAGCCATGAGAACTAAGCCTGGTATTTAAGTGGAGTAGGATAGAGGGGCGGGCCCATTATCCCCGAGTTTCGAAGGCTGCGGTTGTCCTAAGGGTTGGTCTAGACAGAAGTCTGTTTCATAAAGAAGTGTATAGAACGGAATGTCATTCAGGATTCATAGAGTCGATGCTAATCTTGTTAAGGTTGTAGCATAGTTCACTGGTTGAGTGATAGTATTTTATTATGTGCCAGTGAAAGATGCTAGCTACTTCTAAATAATCTAACATAGTATCACTAATACCCGCTTTGACAATATGGAAGAAAAGAAATGAGGGCCTTAGAAGGGGTGAAGAACTCTTCTATACAAATTGTCCCTTTATCTTACTAATAATTCATGAAGCCGGAGGAGATTTCTGTTGGCTCCTTTTGTTCGAAAAGCTAAAGGTCTATTTGAAGATTAAAGATGTCAGAGTGTTAAATTAGTTAAGTTATTACATGCCCACTTTAGACAAATATCACAGGTGTATTGCATCTAGCACATACAAAGAGTTGTTCTTGTATTCATGTCACAAGTTCATCAATGCATCTTCTTTGCTTCTCTTATTTTTCTTACATGTTATCAGAACTTCTACCATTTTGGTAGGCTTATGCAACTTTCACCTTCCGGCACATGGCCTTATGCTGCTTGTGCAACCAAAGTTTCGTTTCTTTCCAATGACCGCTTGGGTGGCAAGCATCTCTTTCCTTCAACCATTCTTGTGGTACCGTGTCTCTTCTGACAATCGCTACAAAGGCATTGTGCCTCTTCGCGGTGACCCGTTTTGGCGGTACTGTGGCAACCGCTTTGATGGTCCATGCATCTTTCTGGAAACTGCTCTGATGTCATGGTGCTTCTTTTTGGAGATCGTTCCAGTAGCGTTCTTTCTGATAACCTATCTAATGGCACGGCGCCTCTTTGCTAGCAACTAAGTTGCTCGGACACGGGTACGGGTGTCCGACACAGGTACGGATCTAGAGGTAGGATCCTTCGAGATGTAAGTTCTAATCGGGGGTACGGATCCTAGTACGGATACGGGTGCGGGGATCTGGATAAAAATAATTCAAAAAATAAAAATATAGAAAATATCTCTAAATTATGAGAAATTATGTGAAATACTAAAGTATAGATTGTAAAGTGTGGATTTCTTTTTTATTCTCAAGTCGTAGATAAGTAAAAGATTTCTTAGATATGTATGCTATTTTCTTCAACATTACCCTAATTATTAGGATTCTAATTTCGGGAACCAAATTGTATCTCGTCTCGAATTTTCAGAGCGTCGTGGTCAAAGTATCCGAAATTGTTTGACCAGATCCGGTACGGATCCCATACCCACACCCATTCTAGTGTCGTGTCGGCACGGGTACGGCACCTAAACTGCCATGTCGGAGCAACTTAGGCTAGCTGCCCCTCGGCTCTTTCTGGTGACACTCCAGTGGCACTGTATTTCTTTCATGTAATTATTCTAGTGGCACCATTCTTTTTGGTGACTGCTCCCACAGCAGTGCACCCTTTCCATCCATCGTTCTGGCAATAACTTTTACGGTGAGATTCCAGTGGCTGGAGATTTTTCGGCGTCTTTCCATCAACATTTTCTGGTGATGTTTACTTTTTATTTCTCAAAATAAACAAGTTTTAGTTGGTTTTTCCACTTCAAGTTTGTGGGAGCATGTTATAATGTTAGGCATTTGAATTCTTAAGTTAGATCGTTTCTCGCTAATTGGACAAATATCATGGTGTATTGTGCCTAACACATCTTAAATTCTTAAATTGTTCCATATGGGATAACAGGGGTATATTGTTCTAACACTTATAAATAGGCGTGCCTTGAAAAGAACTGGAATAAACCAAATTCTGTTAGAGTCAGATCAGGTTAAAAGATATGGTAAATGTTGTCTCCTCCAGCTTATATCAGTTTATGGTGGTATAAAAAGGTGGAGGCAGTATGTTTCCCCTGAGCAGTTAATATAGGGGCTTTAATAAAGTTCAGATTTCAAGTCTAGAAATTTTTCCCCTTTTGCGTTGGAGCTCACAGGACCTTGATAGGTACAGTAATTTGTAATGTTGCTATATGGTAGTGATTTTTTTTAATTCCACTTTGGCCCCCCTTTGGTGAGTCGAACCCACGGCCCTGGGGTTGTAGGTGGGGGGGGGGGGGTGTTGACCATCTGAGGAACCCCCTCTTGTCATGTGGTAGTCGTTGTTGTTGATATGCTCTTCGATAATTTGATACCATCTAATGTTAGAGCAAGTATCAAGGAGCTAAATTTTTCCTTTTTACCATCTCTTAGAGTACTGATGCATAGGATTTGAAATGTTAACCCATGTGAGTGCTTGGTTTATATGGTTGGTTGCTGCGATCAAAATACCTTTATTTCATGTCTCAAGAACCCATCAGGTGGCTAATATGTTAAACTTGATGGTTTTGACTTATTTGTCAGGGTGCTTAAAAGGGGAGGAAGGTTTCTTTGCCTTGAACTAAGCCATGTCGATATCCCAGTTTATAAGAACTTGTAAGTTTTTTCTTGTCATAGCTTGGATGGCATATATTTCTTCAGTTATTTATAATCACCATGCAATTGTACAGCACATCAATAAGAGGTCCATGAGTATTTTTAACCTACTCAGTTAAATTTCAGCTTTTATCCCCTTTTCGCCTTCTTTGTTTGGATAAGTAGTGGCTGTGCTCCAAAGATTATCACTTTTAATGGTGTCGTCCAAGACACCTTAGTGGGATTTTTTGTTTGCGAAATTGTTCGCCAAATATTAACAAATTACGGGGGAATTAGGGAAAAGAAAATAAAATGTTTTCCCTCAGGCCTATTTTGAAGTTTATATAGATATATACTCTGAATTGCTTTTTAATGGCTGCTTCATGTACAAGAACCTCAGCAGCGTGGAACCTCCTGTTGAAACTTAGACAATCAATAAAATTCTCTTGCTCAACTGAAACTGAAGCCTTCATATTCGCTGCTTGTGATATTTCATTTTGAAGTCGAAATATTTAATCCTTGCTCATTAGATCAATATTTAGACAATGTGATTAGCAACAGTTCTTATCTCTGTCATTTGATGAAAAATCAGGTTGTGCATTGGCAATTAACATTGTTTGTACCATGCAAGCTTACTTCCATAGTATGCTGGTTTTCCTTCATTCCTTGGGCTTGGTGAATTGAAATTTGAGATTGTGAGTTCGTTATGTATGATAGCATTTGTACGAGTTTTTTCTTCAGGTTTCAAATTTGCATGCTCTTTATTTTCTTCAGGTATGATGCCTACTCATTCTCGGTCATCCCAGCAGTTGGTGAGCTAGTAACAGGTGACCGAGAGTCTTACCAGTACTTGGTTGAGAGCATCCGCCGATTCCCTCCACAGGTATTACGTGTGGAAGTTTCTTTCATTTGTTGCAACATCAGATAATTTGTTGACAGTAATTGCACCCTGGTCTACCCCGGCTATGCCTGGCCACTACCTGGGGATTGCCATATCTCTCGCCGGTTTGAGATGAGTATCTTGTGCTTGTTAGTGTACTTTATCTTCCAGTACAGTGAAACTGTAATTCTTGTGATCATTGATGGATGCCTTTCCTTAAAAAGTTATTTTTCTTAAAAGATGCTTTGCTATAAAGTGATAAGGCCTGTTCAGCACTTCCACCTATCAAATTGCAGGTGGAACAATAAAGTGGACAGAAAGAAAGGAAAATAGACCATCTTTAATTTTGGTAATGCCTAAGAAGGCCTCAGACAAAAATGAAGTGAACTGCAAATATTGGAATCAGAACACAAGTTTGAGGCCTCCTTGGGCATTACCAAAATTTCATTAAAGATGGTTTATTTTTCCTTAAATTCTGTCCTCTTTTGGACACAGAAAGTAAATGAAACGCTTTGCTCATAGCCTTACCCCTCCCTTTTCTCTTTTCCTTGTCCTTCCTCAAACCCAATCCAATAGCTAAAAACGAATGCAAAACTCTAACTACATTTACACATTGTAACCGAATTCATCCACTCCTGTGAGAGAAAATTTAGGAACATTACCAGAGATTCACCTACAATCTGTGCAAGTGCTTCAGTTTTTTCACTACCTTTTGCTTTTAATGTATGCAGGAGGTGTTTGCCAAAATGATTGCGGAAGCTGGATTTCAAAAGGTAGAATACGAGAACCTTGTTGGTGGAGTTGTGGCAATTCATTCAGGGTTCAAGTTTTAGAGTCGTTCTCAAATTTAACGTGGGACCGGTTTTGACCTTCATGGTACCTGGAAGATCTCACGAAAAAATAGTTTAAGATTCACGGTTTGATAGGTCCTTAGCCAAATAGATGCAAATGGACAAAGACGGAATTCAGCGTATTCTAATATGTTTCTGGGAATGGATATGCTTTTGGGAGCAGCATGGCCTTTCTGGTGAACTGTTTCAAAGAATATAGTAGCTTACAACAATATTACGTAATTTATAAGTTTGTGACTTCATAGGAGTAATTTTCTTCTGCTTGAAACTAGCTTCATCAAGTAGATCTGAAGCTCAGTTTGAATAAGTTAGTTGGCTATTAAAGTCAACAATGCATGGTGTTGTAGCTTGATTAGTTAAACATCAACACAATTTGTAGTTTAATTCACAATGAAGATTGAAGAATATACTATGGAGTTGCTTCCTCGTAAACTATATTCTTACAACTTGTTTGGATGCTTGTTACCTATTTTTATTGTATACTATTGTTAATTTAGATAAAATGTTTGTTTTGATTATTACTTAAATTTAATTGTATCGTATCGTTAAATTCGTCGTTATGTGAGGACCGATTTGGTGTGGTTGCGTCGTTATTTTTTTTTCTATCTTTCCTCCCCTTATTATTAAATAATTCTATTTTGTCATTTACCCTGTATTTTTATATAGCAATTCTACCTCGTATCTTATTTTTTCTTTGTGATTTTGCAAGTTTATTTTTTATATTGTTAGTGGTTTGGTGCATGCAATCATGAAACGACGACAAACAATATAATTTATTCAAACATTTTATACATCGAAAGGTGTCTTGGCGTAATTGGTAAAGTTGTTGCTATGTGACCAGAAGATTATGGGTTCCTCTTGTAAAAATGCACGGTAAGACTGCGTATAATAGACGTTAGTGATCCGATTTTTTTTCGGACCCCACACATAGTACAATATAATATACTACATACATTATGCAACCATATATAACAACATCCAAACAAGGTGGTATAATGCCATTCTGGGAACTAACATAATTTTCTCCAAGTGTGAGGCGCTTCATCTACAGTATACTTGGCTGACGAGACTTTTGGGTCTTTTGTAGCTACTGGAGAGATCTTTACAAGGTAGGCAAACCCTCGATCTTAATTTGACAACAATCCATCGCTACACGTTGCAAATTTTATGTAATTCCAATTCAATATAATCAATTGTGATCGATTGAGTTGCTCTGTACACAAAATCTATTTCTCTCACTCAATTTTTTAATTCACACCGGATTTTCCGTTATCTACATTTTTCTCCCTTATTATCTTTTTATTTATCCCTCCTTACATTTGAAGGAAAATAGCATTTCGTGGGGGAGGCAGTAGCCATGGCTTACTACTACTTATACTCCACCATACCCAAGAAACCTCTAACCTCAATCTTCATGTCCTCTCCCCATATCATCTTCAACTGCTCTCTTCACAAATTCGTTCCTTCTACAACTCCATCACTTTTTCCCTCTCTTTACCTTCGCCACCGTTCTAGGTATTGCACATGGGTGTCAGCTGTTTCATGTTCTGTAGCTGAGACAGATGAACAACACCATATCGCAAGTAATGGACTTGTACACAGAGAATATGCTGACCTTAATCTCTCTGACTTATTTTGCGAGGTTTGACAAATTTAAAGACTTCAACCTTTTTTTTGCCTAAAGTTAGCTATTATCTAATTTATTTTCAGATTTAAGTTATACACACTGGCAATGTAAAGATTCTTTACTCAGTGTAGTTGAGATACCAGTTTAGTTAGTAGCATTTTTACCAGGTTACCGATTGATCCTTAATCATAGAAATTTACTTGCAAATTGTAATTGCATTATAACTGACCTGAGTGTGTAAATATGTTTATTTCCAGTCAGGTGCATAAAACTTGAAACTCTTTTGCCTAAAGTTAGGTCAAACTGAGCTGTTGTCGTTATTTTTCTAATATTCCTGTCACATAAGTATTGCCAAAAGTTGGTCAAGTTGAGCTATTGAAGAAGTCATTTAATTGGATTAAATTTCTTAAATTTGATGATGAGAAGGAAAAAAAATGATGAATTGATAAAATTGTATCTATATGGGAATATCTTTTTGCTATATTTGTGTGCATTTTTATACTCACATTCATCAAATGATGTAACAGGATATTGGCAATCTTCGAATAAGGCCGCATGTCAACCCTCTGCGACGTGCTCTCATGGTACACATTATGACTTTGTATATGTGAAGCTTCTCTCTTTCTATTTGAGTCCTACTGATCCTAGCTATAATTTGTGAAACTTTACTTTAGAAAAAAAATTTCAGGATGGAATAGAACATAAATTTTCAACTTAAATGGTTCTTTTTTGTTTTGTTGTATTAATTTATCACGAGAAGATTCCTGCAGAAGTACCAAACTGGAAGGAGGTGTTCAGGGACGCAACATTGCCTCTGATGGTGGATATCGGTAGTGGTAGGAACCTGCTTGCTCTTTGAGTTCTTCACCATTCTATTGTTACTTATGGTTTATTCGTTATAAATTTCGTGTTTTCCATATAAAATCTAGTAGTTTATTAAGGTCCAACAGTTATCTGTACCAAACTTGTTTCGAATTGCATGAAGATGGTTAGTTATACAAATAGAATAGCAATTTATGCCTATGCCTTACTGGATTGTTAGGTCTGAGGTATTACCAAATAGTATAACAACGGTGTAAAAATTTGCATTATTTATTATGCATTTTGTTATGTTCTTAGCTAATGTAAGTGTAAGCACAACAATGAAGCGTTAATCCCAATGGGTTGATATCGACTATCTGGATCCTTTTCTTGCATTTTATTATGTTCCTAGCTAAATGTGCAATGACTCAGAAATTTTACGCTTATTGAGATAGACTCCAACCTTCCACTACCTTCAATACATGTCGCACCTACATACTAGTGTATCTCGAGGTCTGTGTACCGTTTGAAGCGACCTTCATGTTATCCTTTATGTGTTCTGTTCGCAGCCCTCTGTCAGATGTATTCATTTCTAAGTTGTCCAATCTCATATGACTGCACGTTTTTCTATCACCCACATCTCTGTTACATTCATCTTGTGGATATCCATTACTAAACATTCACTCCCATATAATATTGTGGCTCAAAATATATCTTCGCACACTTCCAATTTTTTCTCTTCCGCTCATCCTTTAGATTCCATTGTCCTATGATCTTGTAATTTCATAGATCTAAGAAGAACATATTCCAGGTAGTGGGAGATTTCTTATGTGGCTTGCTAAAAGAAATTCTTCATCCAAGAATTTTCTGGGTTTGGAAATTCGGCCTAAGGTATGTCGACAATAAGCTTGTCTTGTTCAAAATGCTTTCATTCAGTTTATGTAGCGGTAATTGTTCTCTCTTGGCTTCTGAAAATGTGATACTGTGGTACTCATGATTGAGACTATCTTTTCCTTGTGCAGCTGGTCACACGGGCTGAGTATTGGGTAAATGAGCTGGGTCTGAGAAATGTGTAAGGCTTGAAAAAAATCCTGATATTCCACCTAAGAAATGTTTATTGAAAACCTGTTAATGGATATCCAAATGCAGACATTTCATATCTACCAATGCGATGGTTTCCTTCCAACGACTTGTATCTACATATCCTGGACCACTGATGCTAGTTTCAATCTTGGTGAGTTCCCTTTTTATGCTGGAAGTATGCAGGAATGTTTTTCATGTGCCAATGAACATTTCTTGTTCACTTAAAGCTGAATGGTTAGTTGCTCATGTCTGCAGTGCCCAGACCCTCACTTTAAGAAAAAACATCATAAAAGAAGAGTGGTGCAGAAACCTTTGGTTGAATCCATTGTGAATAATTTAGCACACGGTGGAAAGGTACATGCTCGGAGTTTCTAGAGTGTAAATTAGTTGATCATTTTTCTGTGTGCGTAGATTTCTCTTGCTAAACTTGGTTGATGCTTGTTGCTGTGCATTGTTCAGTTTGCCAATTTCTATTTGGCTTTTTTTTTGCATCTGGGTGTGGTGTATCATTAGTTGGTGTCATAATGTTTGAAGTTTTTAAGTAATTCAAAACTAACTTGTATGGTATAGCTATTTCGACAATAACACCATTTGCTGATCTTCTTAAGGAAAAGGAAATTTATGATCTAAGCTGTCTTAAAATGTAATGAGAACTATTTTGCATCTTTTACTGGGCATAGGTAACATACGATGACTCTGTTTTCACTACAGCTGCATCTTATTGATGATCTCACTTTCATATATTTGTAGTCTTCTCTCAGGTAACAACTCTAATGGATGCTTGATCCTAGTAACTAGCACATTAGGTACTCCTTTTTTTTCCTTGAACAAATGGACCTGTAACTCCACCCCCCCACCCCCCAAACACACACAAAAACACAAAAGATGAGCTCTCATGTGTGCAGCAGCTGTGTGCTTACTTAGTTGTGCCTGCAGTGCCTCACTCCATTTCAGCAAAAAAGGTTCTAAGTAATTGTTCAAGGTGTACCATTACCCCCAAATCTCCTGTTTAGTGCTCTCTGAAGTTGTTTTAACAGATGATTGTTCTATGTTAAGACTATCAAAAAATGTTGTCATACTAAACAACAAAATGTTACTGTTATGTTGAAGAGTTACCCTTTCTGGTTGTGAAATAGGGTTCACCATGATCAAATAATAATAATTTGAAGCTAACTGCTATAGTGCTTGAAGGTGATATCATTTATCTTGGTGCTAGTGGAAGGCAAAGATTTTGCTGAAAGAAAATATTGTTGCAAATGGAATGGTTTACGAAGTCCATAGTCCAAGGAGAGAGATAATGATAGATGACACAGAACATATTAATTACCTAAAAAAACATGGGAATGCCATCGGACCGGATTTGTCGTAAAATTGAGATTATTTCGTTTCCTTCCTTATCAGAGAGGGGCCGGCGGGCTTATTTATTGAAAAAGGGGGAGTGAGGGGGGNGGGGGAGGCTCAGATTAAGCAGAGATGGCAGACTTACTTTCATGGACTTCTGAATGAAGAGGGGGATAGGGATATTCTGTAGGTGATCTAGGGCATTCAGAGTGTCTCCGAGACTTTGGGTATTATACGCGCATTAAGGTCGAGGAGGTCGCGAGGGCTATGCGTAAGATGAGAAGAGGCAGAGCGACCGGGCCAAACAAAATTCCGATAGAATTTTGGAGGTGTGTGGGTAGAGCAGGCCTGGAGTGGCTGACTGGGCTGTTTAATGTTATTTTCAGGACGAAGAGTATGCCGGATGAGTGGAGGTGGAGTATGGCGGTACTGTTGTACAAGAACAAAGGCGATATCTAGTGTTGTAACAACTATAGGGGTATCAAGTTACTTAGTCATACCATGAAAGTTTGGGAGAGGGTGGTGGAAGTAAGGGTGAGGAGGACTGTGTCTATATCTGACAACCAGTTCTGGTTCATGCCGGGTTGTTCGACTATGGAAGCTATCCACCTTATTAGGAGGTTGGTGGAAGCCTGGAGGTCTCTGGAGATGCCTGGAAGCAAAAGGTGTGCCGATAGCTTACATTACAGCGATCAAGGACATGTATGATGGAGCTAAGACTCAGCTTAGGATAGTGGAAGGTGACTCGGAGCATTTCCCGGTTGTTATGGGGTTACACCAAGAATCTGCGCTCAACTCGTTCTTATTTTCCCTGGTGATGGACGCACTGACACCATATTCAAGGGGAGGTGCCATGGTGTATGTTATACGCTGACGACATAGTTTTGATTGATGAGACGCGAGGCGATGTTAACGACAGGCTAGAGTTTTGGAGACATACCCTTGAGTCTAAGGGTTTCAAGTTGAGCAGGACTAAGACAGAATATCTGGAGTGCAAGTCCAGCGCCGAGTCGGGGGAATTGGGCATGGACGTGAGGCTTGGATCACATGTCATCCCCAAGAGAAGTAGTTTTAAGTACCTGGGGTCGATTATCCAGGGGGACGGAGAGACCGACGAGGACGTCACACACAATATAGGGGTGGGGTGGATAAAATGGAGGTTAGCATCAGAAGAATGGAAAGCCCTCACTTTATTGATGAGACATTTTGATCCCCTTCTCCTCTCATCCTCCCCCGGTTTTGATTTTCTCCTGTGAGGAACAAAAAGCTAGTTCAATTAAGAAAGCTATGTCTTGATGGGGGAGGCTCAGATTAAGCAGAGATGGCAGACTTACTTTCATGGACTTCTGAATGGAGAGGGGGATAGGGATATTCTGCTAGGTGATCTAGGGCATTCAGAGTGTCTCCGAGACTTTGGGTATTGTACGCGCATTAAGGTCGAGGAGGTCGCGAGGGCTATGCGTAAGATGAGAAGAGGCAGAGCGACCGGGCCAGACAAAATTCCGATAGAATTTTGGAGGTGTGTGGGTAGAGCAGGCCTGGAGTGGCTGACTGGGCTGTTTAATGTTATTTTCAGGACGAAGAGTATGCCGGATGAGTGGAGGTGGAGTATGGCGGTACTGTTGTACAAGAACAAAGGCGATATCTAGTGTTGTAACAACTATAGGGGTATCAAGTTACTTAGTCATACCATGAAAGTTTGGGAGAGGGTGGTGGAAGTAAAGGTGAGGAGGACTGTGTCTATATCTGACAACCAGTTCGGGTTCATGCCGGGTTGTTCGACTATGGAAGCTATCCACCTTATTAGGAGGTTGGTGGAACAGTACAAGGATAGGAAGAAGGATCTGCACATGGTGTTTATTGACCTGGAGAAAGCATATGACAAGGTCCCTAGGGAGGTCTCTGGAGATGCCTGAAGGCAAAAGGTGTGCCGATAGCTTACATTACAGCGATCAAGGACATGTATGATGGAGATAAGACTTAGCTTAGGATAGTGGAAGGTGACTCGGAGCATTTCTCGGCTGTTATGGGGTTACACCAAGAATCTGCGCTCAACTCGTTCTTATTTTCCCTGGTGATGGACGCACTGACACCATATTCAAGGGGAGGTGCCATGGTGTATGTTATTCGCTGACGACATAGTTTTGATTGATGAGACGCGAGGCGATGTTAACGACAGGCTAGAGTTTTGGAGACATACCCTTGAGTCTAAGGGTTTCAAGTTAAGCAGGACTAAGACAGAATATCTGGAGTGCAAGTTCAGCGCCGAGTCGGGGGAACTGGGCAGGGACGTGAGGCTTGGATCACTTGTCATCCCCAAGAGAAGTAGTTTTAAGTACCTGGGGTCGATTATCCAGGGGGACGGAGAGACCGACGAGGACGTCACACACAATATAGGGGTGGGGTGGATAAAATGGAGGTTAGCATCAGGAGTCCTGTGTGACAAAAAAGTGCCACCGTTACTCAAATGTAAGTTATATAGAGCTGTGGTTAGACCGGCCATGTTGTATGAGGCAGTGTGTTGGCCGGTTAAAAACTCTCATATCTAGAAGACTCAGCGCCGAGTCGGGGGAAGTGGGCATGGACGTGAGGCTTGGATCACAGGTCATCCCCAGGAGAAGTAGTTTTAAGTACCTGGGGTCGATTATCCAGGGGGACGGAGAGATCGACGAGGACGTCACACACCGTATATGGGTGGGGTGGATTAAATGGAGGTTAGCATCAGGAGTCTTGTGTGACAAGAAAGTGCCACCGTTACTCAAATATAAGTTATATAGAGCTGTAGTTAGACCGGCCATGTTGTATGAGGCAGAGTGTTGGCCGGTTAAGAACTCTCATATCCAAAAGATGAAAGTGGCTGAAATGAGGATGTTGAGGTGGATGTGCGGGCATACTAGGATGGATAAGATTAGGAATGAAGTTATTCGAGAGAAGGTGGGTGTGACTCAAATGGCTGACAAGATGCGGGAAGCGAGGCTCAGATGGTTCAAGCACGTGCGGAGGAGGAGACCCGATGCTCAGGTGAGGAGGTGCGAGAGTTTGACCTTGGCAGGTATGAGAAGAGGTAGAGGGTGGCCTAAGAAGTATTGGGGAGAGGTGATCAAACAGGACATGATGTTGCTGCAGATTTCCGAGGACATGGCCCTTGATAGGAAGGTGTGGAGGTCGAGCATTAGGGTTGTAGGTTAGGACTTAGTCGAGTCCGGGTGGTGAGGCTAGTTCGATAGGGTTGGCGTTAGACTGCTAGTGGTTAATATTGTGTTCAAACTATCCTTCCGTTTTTCATACCATCGAGGCTTATTTTCTGGTTTTTGCATTTCAACTCTTTTCTAGTTCTTATGATGCTGTTTTTATTTCTTTGGTTTCTGTTTGATGGTACTAATATATTGTCCCTTCCCTTCTCTTCTTGTCTTTTCCGTCTTCTTGAGCCGAGGGTCTTTCGAAAACAGCCTCTCCACTCCTTCAGGGTACGGGTAAGGTCTGCGAAAACGCTACCCTCTCTAGACCCCACTTGTGGGATCCTACTGGGTCGTTATTTTTGTTGTTGTATGTCCATTCTTGGCATAACATATTCAATGTTAGTCCAGTTAAAGTTGAAGCATCATGGTATCGCCTATTGCCCACACATACATTGTTCCCCTTGGTGCCAGGGACAAGACAGAAAAGAGTGAAGGGATATGCGGCCATATGTCCATGGTTGTGCAAAGTAGATGATCCAGAACTTGTACCCAAGTGTTAGCTCCAACTGTCTCATATCCCTTTAGGCTTTGACCCCTTCTCCAAACTTGTGATTATTTTGCTTGATGTCACCAAATATTCATGATGTCAATTCTTGGTGGTTTCAGTGGAAAAGCATAATACAATGTCTTTTACAGGTCGTTATCTACTCTATATATGGATAAAAGGGTTTACTATTACCTAACCTTGATGTTATGCCCTAAAACCACTAAACTTTGGCTACGTCCCGTTCAATGTGAGTGCAGTGATGGTAAAAACAGCAAATTGTCTGATAATTATAATATCTAGGTTGCCTTTTTTTGTCTGAATACATCTAGCTTCAAATTCCTTACAAATCTAATCCATAAATGTACTGCGCTTTCTTTTCATCTTATTTTATGTTTCTAAGAAAAAAAAGCATGAAAATGAGCATGCTCTTATTATATCTGCTGAGCATCAAATGTACAATCTTTTTTGTTGCATTATACCCTGAGCTTTCTAGTTGACCGCTGGCAGGTCTTTATACAGTCTGATGTGCTCGACGTGGCAGTTGACATGAGGAATTATTTTGATGATGTGTCTGACAAACTTGTGCATATAGATAGTGTTGATCCAAGTTTACCTTGTGATGGTGATGGATGGGTATTGAACAACCCATTGGGAATAAGGACTGAGAGAGAGATCCATGCAGAATTTGAAGGTTGCAAAATATACAGAAGGGTTTACCAAAAAGTTCAACGTTAATTTTCTGTTTCATAACTTGCTGTTTGGGAGTATGGATCACACAGTTTTGCTCTTAGTCTTCTCCAGGCATTACAATTTCTATATCTTTGAAGTGCCCTTCAACACATCTATTTTTGTTGTGGTTGCTTGATGGAATAATGAGCCCCCCTTCAAAATGAGGGCATGTAACATACATCTCATATGGACTCTAGCTCTCCTTTTTTCTTTTTCCATTTTTCTTCAGTCTGCCTTTGTACCATGGAATGTATTGTTTTTAGTTGGTGTTTAGAAAAATCTTGGCTAACTAGGAAAAGATACTGGTCAAGTTGTGATAGTCCGTGTCGTTTTCGCCTACTTGAAGAACTATGGGGCAGACAGGTTCAATCCTCTGATTTGTTGAACGGAAAGAAAGTGAAGCTTTCAAGGAGATTCTGACATGACATTTTTGTGCCAAAGAGCCTGTTCGATGGCATCTGCGTCCGAAGCCAATATGCTTTCAATTAAAAACTATAGACATGTCAAGATTTGAATTCGAATTGGTTTCTGGTGCCAATATGCTTTCAATTAAAAACTATAGACATGTCAAGATTTGAATTCGAATTGGTTTCTGGTTTTGGTTAGAGAATACTGCGTTTGTGGTGATCTGAATAAGAGGCGGGATAGAGGTATCTTTCTTTTCATTACGAATGCCATGCTTTGCTAGTTTTATTTGCCAACTTTGTGCCTTTATGACCAAAAAGCTTAAGGGGCATCCTAAACCGAACCCATGGCGTATCACAGTGTTGGCCAATGGATCTGAAAAGCCAAAATTGCTATATTTGGCACCAGATTCTGTAATGAAAGTAATGGGAATTGAGATGTATTCGTCCTTTCAATTAATCTTCAACTTTTTCCTTTTTCCTCTTCAGAATATGCTAAGGTCAATTATCACCCTTTGTTTATGTAGCGTTTTTTTTAAAGTTGTGCAACTTTCTAATGAAGGTATGCCACTTTAATTTATGCTTAAATTTTCTTATTTTGTTCCTTATATTTGATTATACATAAAGTTAAGTCTCGAGCAAAATTTTGGGATAAATTGTTGTACAAAAATATACATACATATACGTTTTATTTGGTACTTGGTTCAATCGCCTTGAGAAAGTTCAGTTTACTTTCTCGAGTTGGAATTCTTTGTCGAGTCGATGGCGAGCTTGACTTTTCGTTTGAGGTTCAAGAGAAAGAAAAGAATTCCTGCCTACTTCGGCTTTTACAAATGTATTGTCATTGGTGATTAATAACTTCTCGAAACTAATATTCCTAAAATTTACTTTCCATCGCTCTTTATAGGTTGAGATATATAAAAAGAGAGTGCCGAAAAACCAAACGTACCTATCAGTCAAAGGTACATGCAGCCATAGGTGCCAATTTCATAACATAACTTTTCTCCCTTGGTCTTTTGGCGCATTTAAAACGTCAGTCACATTGAGTGTTCCAAAGGCTTGCTTCTTTAGCTCCACAACTTGCTAATTTTTGGCAAAATCAACGTAAGAAGGGGGAAGATTTTGTGAACTAACCGTGTGATGACTAGCTAAAAGTTTGAACGGTAAATCATGTACCTAATAGTCATGCTAAATAGTTTAATAAGTAACCTCTTTAAATGGTAAGATGCATTACGTTTTGATATATATAGCCATAATTTCTTTAGTCATCTATTGCTTTGTTTTGTAATGTACATAGTCAAATATTTAAAGATGGTCATTTTTGTACTACATACTTTTCTATTTCCTTAACTGGTTTTTGGACATGTATGTAATACTGTATTACGACCTAACTCGGTATTCATATTGAAATATCAACATGCTATCAGACGTGTGTCTTCCTTTTCCTTTGTGAAGTGCTTATGCTTATCATCAACGTAATAGACAATTCAAAAAATGGACTAAACTCCGCATTATTAGAATAATGGGAAGAAAAGATTACTACTATTTGGCTATCTTTTTTTCCCTCGTCCATTTAACTATAGTAATCAGACTTGGTCTTGAGACATTTTATTAAAACTGAAAATTTTCAATTGTTCCTCTTTAAATATCATTTCATTGGATGATAAGGAGATCAAAATAAGTGATACATTAATCTTTTTTAACCCAAAAGTCACAAGCTAGTCTTTATCCAACAAAATTAATCGATCATAGGTCAATTGTTTTTGATATTTTGGAAAAATTAACCAATCCAACAAAACTTTGTATGAATGATCCAGATTTTCCCCCATAAAAATATAGAATGATATTTTGGTCCTAATATTCTATCCAATTTACCAGAACTTTATGTCATAAGAATATATAAAACTTGACCAGTTTGATTCGCTTACTTCATTCCTTGGGACACTCCATGCATACACCGATACACATGTTCGGAGTGCGATTCAATTCTCTAATCAATTACCAATAAATAAATCTATTATATCACAAATTAAAAAAACTAAAAAGAAAGAGAAGATAATTAATTACTCCATATAATTAAAGTTGACACGCTGAAGTAACGCGTAAAGAAAATTGTGAGGATAAGATATACTCCTATATATATTTTATAGAGAAAACGTGTAATAACAAATTTGATCTGATAAATTTAGTAAATTTCCAAACTTCAGGTGCACTCTGTGTTCAACAAAAACAAATTGAAGTATAAGGCTACTACCGAATTTCAAAATCGATCTTCCTGATCCAAAAAGGTGACTCCTTTCTTCTTCTCCCCTTACTTTCATTTTGTTTTGGTATTTGGGTTTTGAATTTACAATCTCGTTGCCATTATTTTTGCTTTACTTTTTGTTATTTCAAGATTGTTTCTTGGTGGGGTTTAGCCGTTTAGGTGATCAGGAAATTGGAAGCAACTTATTAGTAGTTGATATAACGTGTTTCTGTTTGATTTAGTAATTCTTTGTTTTCTGCATGGGATCATGCTTAATCCTAATTCTTGTAGTTTTAGATCTTTAGTCCTTTTATGTTGTGTGCCTCCCAGTAGACGCGGGGGGTGGGGGGTGGGGGAGGGGGGAACTAACCAAATATGTTAGTAGTGTTTTAGTACTAATTTCATGATTTGATCTTCTTTCTGAGGGTGGAAAAGATGGATGGTCTTTTTTCCTCCCATTTCAGGTTGCACAATTTGTTTTTGGTATAGAAAAAGTTGATCTTGTCCAAGGATGTATTTTTGTTCAGCTTCTTCTTTGTGTTTGTGTAATTATTCTCCCTTAAGAAGATTGAATTAGAGAGTCAGTTTATTGAGTCATGATATCCCGAGCTATTGTATGTTTACCATGTTGATTGTTTATGACTTCTAAAAAGTCGAGATGCAACAATTAATAGATGATAGAACATAAACTCATTAGCTCCAACAGTAATCTGAATTTTGACTGTGAGTATCATGATATGTATGTGTTATGTGGTTTCTTTGTTGTGGAGTGAATAAGTAAATTCATAGTTCTAAGCATAGATCCTCTTGTGAAACACTGTTATTGAAATTGCTAATCGATGGTGGGTGGGGGTGGTGTTCCATTCTTTTCGATCTTGTACCCTATGTAGGCTTGCAAAGAACTATGAAAACTATAGTTCTCCTTTGACCTAGCTGATTTATCTATTTTGAGTATTTACATCCTTGTTGTGCTTGTTGCGGTCCAGGCTCTGATAATTGAATTGAAAAGAAAAATGGGGGACAGGCATGGAAGTGATGACAAAGGACTGTTTTCTCATCTTGCTGGATATGCCGTGGGCCATCACCACGGAGGCTATGGGCCGTATCCACCTCAAGGATATGGATATCAACCACAAGGGTACCCGCCTTCTGGCTATCCTCCGCACGGTGGATACCCACCCGCAGGTTATCCTCCTCCTCCAGGCGCATACCCTCCACCTGCATATCCTCCACCTGGTGGATATCCTCCTGCAGGTTACCCTCCACCCTACTATCCGGGTCATTCATCACATCATGGTATGTTGAATCATTTTCCTAGTACTTATTGCTTCTCAGTTCTTACATCTGTTTCAAGATATAATATTTCGTTGTTTATTTGCACATCCCATGTTTTCTTTCTCGCACAATTTTTTGGTTAATTGCAATCTGCTTTATTACACCATGACTGAATTATGTGTATGGAGTCACGATGACATGATAAAGCTCTGATCCCAAGGGTGATTGCCCATAGGGAATTAGGAAATAAGCATTAGAGGGGAAGAATGTTGATCACCCATGTGGTCCATTTGTATTTGCAACCATCTTACAAACGGACTAAGTAGACCTTGCAGCCTTGTGGAGAAACACCCTGCCTCTGTTTTTGGGTATTCTTTTTTTAATTTTTTTTTGGGGGGGAGGGGGCTTAGGTGGGGGAGGGTTCCTTATTCTGAGAGAAGTTAATATGCTGATATATATTAGGCTGTTTTGGTTATCTGAGAATGTTTGCTATATGCTGCTTGTTCTGGTTCTTAATTTATACACTAGTGGCGATGTCCCTGGCATGTAGCTTACTAGTGGTTTGGAGGAGAATACATGAAACTCAAATGAATGATCTGATAACTTCGAATCGTTGATCCGTAATTGAAGTAGGTGATAATGTATCTTTCTACCAATAGATAAGTAAATAGAAATGAAAAGAGTAAGGAGATTATTGAAGCTTTGGTGTGAGAGAGAACTTGTAACAGGTGTACGTGCTCCGCGCACTTGGATCATCTCCCACTAGCATTGCCTTTATTCATCTCTTGAGATTATACTTTTGATTACTGATTTAACTTGATTACGAAGCTGCAATCTCATGTGCTAAATAGTCTAGTACTAGTCCTGACTGCTATAAACTTCCTTATTTGGTCATCAGATGTTAGTTTTGAGTTTACTTGGTTTATATTAGATTGTTAGATCAACGCGTAAGTTACCAAAAGGGAGTGCTGGCTTCTCATGCACATTTATTTGTTTTTCTCCTTCCATTTCCATACCTCTTTGCATTTTCCATTTAAATCCATCATTTGACAAGTGAAGCCTTGCTTTTTTTGAGCAACCAATGAGTACATCAACTTGTACTAGTGTAGAAATGGATCGTATTAATATCTTTTACGTTACAGTTGGTTGACTATTCAGAATTTTACAGGGCATGGACCTAATATGGGAGGAATGCTAGCTGGTGGTGCAGCAGCAGCTGCAGCTGCATATGGGGCACACCATCTCATGCATGGTCATCATGGTCGTCCTTTCGGCCATTATGGCCATTACGGCCATCATGGCAAGTTTAAGCACGGAAAATTCAAGCACGGGAAGTTTGGCAAGCGTTGGAAACATGGCATGTTTGGCAAACACAAGTTCAAGAGATGGAAGTGATTCGTTATCCAAAGTTTACAGGATTCCTGCTATAAGTTCTTGCTTGTTACTTTACTGTTGATGATCAATTTCTGGTGCATTTTGTGTGTCTATTCACTGATATTCGCGTATTATCAACACCCTACATATGGTATCGTGTATACAGTGATTATAGTTTAAATTTGATGTTGATGACTTTCTGCGAGGTGTTATCCATATTATTACATTTTTTTAAGTCTGATCTTAATACCGATGGAGTCAATAATTTTAGCTTAATCCGAGCATTTTTTTCCATTCATTTGTCTGTTACATCTCAAACCGAAGAAGATATCAATGGAACAAAAATGACTTATTAGATCAATTTCTGTCTTAATCAACAGTAATTTTTTCTTTCTTTTCGTGACACTCAAAATTCTATTTGTGAGAGTTCCTACGGAGTCCTTTGTGTTATCATATTTTCTAATATAACCTGCTAAGAAAATAATGGAAGGACATAGTTTTGAACTACTGAATATTTAACTTTACCAAAAAATGAACTTTATTTATAACGGAAAAGGGCCTAAACGATTTTACATTTTCTCTCTCTAGCATAGGGCTCTCAGCGCACGTTAAGCTAATGTACGCCGACGGTGGTAGCCATGGCCAGAGGGCGAGGTCGACCGAAGAAACAACCAATTGTTACAGTAGGGAGCTCGGTAAGTGCTAGAGTAATTGCTGAAACCCTAGAAAATGGAGGAGAACAGAGACTTTCAACACCAGTAGCAACTCATTTTCCGGCACTTTCACCATTGGCGTCGGCGGTGAAATCGAACCCTGGGATTAAGCAATTGAACCTCAGTGGAGACTCGAAGATGCAATTGGCTAGAAATGAAAGACCACAAGGAGGTACAAGCATCAATGACTCAACAAAGGAGAATGCTGAAGCAACAAGATCCAGCACCTACTTGGACTGGACTATTCAATCGTAATCGTGCTGCAACTAACGGTATGTCTCTTGATTACATTCCTCCGGAATTAGTTGAGGGATCTGTAATTGTTAATCTTGACAAAGGAGAAACAGAAAAGGAGATTGATAAATGGAAGTCGGCACTAATAGTGTATGTAGTGGAAGACACACCTTGGTATAACTATATGAGCAAATATGTGCAACAAAACTGGAATACTATATCGAAACCTGGAATTTACTATCATGAGGAGGGATATTATGTCGTTAAATTTCAAAGCATAGCAGATATGAATGAAATGCTGTATGCAGGACCTTATAGCATTAACAACATACTAATGATCTTAAAGCAATGGACTCCAGACTTTGTTTTCAATGCAGAGTTCCTCATAGAATTGCCTCTATGGGTTAAGTTCCCAAATCTGCCCATGAGCTATTGGAGCAGGGATTCATCGAGTAGGATAGCCAGTGCCATTTGTGTTCCTAAATATGCCGATGAATGCACAGCAAACAGACTAGAATATCCTTTGCTCGATGCTCATTAAAGTTAATTTCACCAAGGCCTTGCCATCTGAAATAACAGTGATGGATCCTTCAGGGAAAACATTTCAGCAGGGAGTGATGTTTGAATGGAAACCAGAATACTGTGAACAATGCTTAATGATAGGTCACAATTATGATAAGCAAAGAAGGGATAGATTGAAGACAGAGGAACAAAAGCAAACTAGACCAATTGAGAGGAAGAAAAGACCTCAAAAACTGGTTTCAACTTGGGTCCCAAAGGTAGATACTCACAAGCCAGCTGTCTCTACTAGTGATCAGTAGGGTACTAGCTATGCAGGGGCAACTAAACAAACACAGCAAGAAGCAGAAACAATGACAAATGAAGAGATAAATCCTCAAGCAAAAGAGAAGCAGATATTGAAAGGAAAGACATCTAAAGAAATAAATGGCAGACCTATAAATCAAATAGTGGAAGTTGCTATACCTATGAGAAATGAGTTTGACATATTGCAACAAGATGATGCTGTGGTGGCAACCTTACTCCCTTCTGATTTAGGAGGGGGATTCATATGCCATCAATAATGTCTTGGCTAGCATGGAATGTGAGGGAGTTAAATAAGAGGTATAAACGAAAATAAATTGCTACATACCTTAAAGAGAATAAAGTAAAGGTAGTGATTAGTGGAAACAAGAGTCAAGGAACATAATGCAATCAAAGTTAGTAGAAAAATAGCTCATGGATGGGAATTTGAAAACAATTATGCAAATGCAGTCAATGTAAGAGTTTGGATGCTTTGGGATAGTGCAGTATATCATATCAAGAGTATACAACAAGAAGCACATCTATTACATTGTAGTGTGGTTAGTAGGAACCAAGCCATTGATTGTGATATGACAGTGGTGTATGGATATAACACAATAGAAAAGAGAAAGTAGTTATGGCATCAGCTTGTAGGAATCTCACAGAAGGTAAATAAACCCTGGATCATCTGGGGTGATTTCAATTCCATACTGTGCCCACAAGATAGACTATATGGTACAACAGTAACTAGCATGGAAATAAAAGACTTTGCTGAATGTGTACAAAACCTAATTCTGAATCAGCTACCATGGAAGTGAGATTACTATACCTGGACAAATAAACAACAAGATGGAGACAAAATTTGGAGTAGAATTGATAGAGCAATGGGAAATGCAAAATGGATGATGCAATTTGGACATCTCACTACTGAATACAGGCTGCCTCACATATCACACCACAACCCTATGATGATAAATACTAACTTGAGGGAGCCAAAGATCAAGCCACCATTCAAATTCTTCAATGTTTGGTCATCACATGAGAACTTTCCCAAGATGGTGAAAGACTGCTAGGCACAGAACCTGCATATAGATACAATGAGAAACATTTGGCTGAAGCAGAAAGACTTACGAGGAAAACTAAAGATTCTAAATGAAACTGAGTTCAAGGGTATTGCTATGAAGATTGAACAAGCAAGGGAAGACCTGAAAGAGGTTCAGACCAAGATAAGTTCACATTATACAGATGCACTTGCATCAGAAGAGAAAAATATAATATGTCAGCTTGAAAAGTGGTCCTTGATTGAAGAAAGTATAATGCAACAGAAGGCTAGAGCAATGTGGATAAAACTTGGATACTCTAACACTAGCCACTTCTCAGTAGTCATGAAAGATAGGAAACAAATCACTGAGATTGATTCTCTAGATGGAAGGAGATTGACTGATCCAGCAGCTATAAGGGAAGAGATTACTCAGTTCTACAAATCAATCATGGGCACATCAATACCAAGTGTAGCAGTAGTAAATAAGAAGACCACGAGAAGAGGCAAAAAGGTGGAGCATGAGCAACAACTTCAGCTATGTGAAACAGTAACAGAACAAGAAATCTATGATGGATTATGCTCTATAGGAGATGACAAAGCACCAGGGTGGATGGATACAATGCAGTATTTTATAAAAAAGCATGGCCAATTATCAAGAATGAAGTTATAGAAGCAGTAAAGGAGTTCTTTATAACAGGTACTATGTTCAAAGGCATCAATTGTACTGCAGTAACTTTGATTCCAAAAGTAGCTAATCCTGCTACAATCAAAGAGTATAGGCCCATTGCTTGTCGTACTGTCCTATAAAATCATTGCTAAAGTCCTAGTAGGGAGAATACAAAAGGTTATTGCTAGCATCATCACAGAAACAGAAGTTGGATTCATTCGTGGGAGAAGAGTTGCAGATAATGTGATCTTGGCACATGAATTGGTAAAGGCATACACAAGGAAATACATCTCACCAAGATGCATGATTAAGGTAGATATCCAAAAAGCTTATGATACAGTAGATTAGAGGTTCCTGAAACAGATGTTGGAGGAGCTACACTTTCCTTCAAAGTTTACTAGATGGGTGATGGAATGTGTGTCAACTGTTAATTACTCCATAGTAATCAATGGAGAACCAACCAAACCATTTGAAGCAAGAGGGCTCAGGCAAAGCGACCTAATGTCACCTTTCTTATATGCTATAGTCATGGAGTACTTAAGTAGAAACCTTAGTGATCCGAGAGATGAGAAGCAATTCAAATTCCACCCTAAGTGTTCAAAAATGAATATCACTCATTTGAGCTTTGCGAATGACCTGCTAATGTTTGCTAAAGGAGAATTAACTTCTGTAGGACTACTGCATAGAAAGTTTGGTAACTTCACAGATGCTTCAGGTTTACAAGCTAACATGTCAAAGAGTGCTATATATTTTGGTGGAGTACCAGATTCTCTTAGGCATGATATTCAGCAACCGCTGGGATATGGATAAGGGGAATTACCTTTTTAGTATTTAGGGATCCCACTGGCTACAAAGAAGCTGAAGATGGTAGAATGACAACCATTAATATCCAAGATCACTGCAAAAGTGGCTTCATGGGTAGCAAAGAAGTTGTCATATGTTGGTCGAGTCCAGTTGGTGAAGACAGTTCTATTTAGATTTCAATCCTATTGGGCATAGATATTTATAGTACCTACCAAAGTGACGAATGCCATAGAAGCTTACTGCAAAAGTTATATTTGGTCAGGAGCAAATGAAATAACTAGAAAAGCATTGGTATCCTGGAGCAGAATGTGTGTGCCAAAGTCAGCTGGAGGACTTAACCTCACAAATCTGAAGATCTGGAACAAAGCAGCTATAGTTAAAACTTGCTGGGAATTACATAGTAAGAAAGATACTCTTTAGATCAAATGGATACATGAGTATTACATAAAAGGGAAGTAGATAGCAAATATGCCCATACCCCAGCAAACAAGTTGGATGGTAAGGAAAATATTCAAGGCAAGGGAGGAATTGGGTAATGTGGAACATAAGTCACTAGGGAACAGGAGCATGATTAGGATCATTTATCTGAAAATGATAAGAGATCTACCAAAAGTCACCTGGAAGAACTTAATGTTTGGGAATGCAGCAAGAACAAAAGCAATCTTCATAACATGGCTTCAATTTCAAGACAGATTACTCACAGCTACAAGACTACAAAGCTGGGGTATACAGATAGATACAAATTATCAAATGTGCAAACAAGCAGAGGAAAGCAAGGATCATCTATTTGCTGGATGTGAAGCTAGCAGAAGAGTGTGGAGTAAACTAATGGCATGGATACAAACTGATTGGTCATCAATGATGACATGGGGACAACTGCAGAGCTGGATAGAACAAAGAACAAGAGGAAAGACAAAGCAAGCAAAAATATTAAAGCTGATATATACAGAGTACATCTATGCAATATGGATTGAACAGAACAACAGAGTGTTTATGCAGAAAGTGGAAACTAGTGATGCTGGAGCTAGAGAAATAGCTTATATCTATCATGTTCGAGCTGCTGAGAACCTTAAGATGACTCTATAGAATTTTAGATTTCCTAGTTAATGTGTATAGGATAGTTTATCTTTGTGTGGATATATTTACCATATGAACAACAGACTGAGTAAAAAGTCTAGCTGGATTTGTAAATATTCTACTTTGTAATTAATAAAAGTTGATAGTTACCAAAAAAGGGCCTAAACTACCCCTATTATTTGATAAATGGTTTACTTATAGCCTCCGTCCATCTATCACTCCAAAAATACACGTTTCGTGCATCTATTAGTCCAAATACACACTACGTTAATTTTATTAATTAAAGTACCCCTACGTTTTAACGGCAGACCGGCTAGACCTTCAAATTAATGTGTTGGACTTTTTACTGGGCCACGTGACACTCTAGTCCAAAAAACAAATCCGAGTAAAACTAGAAAAATCTAGCATCAATTGTTTCAACATTTTCGTTATCTGATGGGTTCAAATTCGGGTTCAACAGCCTGAACAACATTGACGACCACATGAGGAACTGAAGGGGAAGAAAGTGCCTGATCACCCTTTTTTTGAATTGCTTCATGAGAATTAGGATGACGACTGACTTCATTATGATCATGAAAAGCTTGAGGAACATCAGTACCAACCATTTGAGCTGGGAATTGGCTTAGGTATTTTATCGAACACCTGGTGATCCCAAATCTGCAGAATTACGTTTTTGAATTGTTGTGGAGATTGAGCCGATGAAGTTTGGATTTGATGTGTTGGAAACGATCTCCTGAACAGCAAGAATCGTTTGGCATTGGTATTGGGACAATTGGTTCACCAGAACTCCATGCGCGATCATCTGGTGCATTTTTGGGCTGTTCATATGATCGGAGTTCCCAATTCTGTTAGTGAAATCCTCCAAATGTTGGTGGGGAGATTGATATGGACCTAGAGAAGAATCCCCAGTTCTTGGAATGGCTTGATTTGACCCAGAAACGCGCGAGGAATTATTTCGAACTCCCAGGCCATTTTGCACTACAGTGATCCCAGCACCATTTTGCAAATCTGTAGCAGTTGGGGAATTGTTTTGGGAAATTATTTGCTGAGGTTGGTGCGCAATTGGAAGGCACATTTTTTGGTGGTGGTCCGGTGGCTATTCACCGGCGGACGGCGGAGTAGTGTGCAGTAAAGCACGACTGCGTTATTGTTCACGGCAGTCGCACTATAAGGAGAGCTGACCCACATAAAAAAGAGTGGGTCGTATCGGTTAAATGGGTAAAAATTAACCCAAGTACAATTTCAGCCCCACTGAGCCACGTGGACAAATGAAAGAATGCTACATCATTTAATGAGAGGCCCACATGAAGTGTCGTTAGTCGAGGGGGTAATTTTGATAATAAAATTAACGTCCTATATATTTTCAGACGGATAGATGGACATGAGTTTTTTATAAACCATTTAGCATACGATAGGGGTACTTTAAGCCCTTTTTCGTATCTACAATGAAATATGTATGTTTTCTCATGTCTTGTTTGGACTAGTCTCTACATAGTATAAATAGTAGTATTCTTTAAAAACTAGTGACAACGATTAGCTTTTGCTACTGTAGACGACAACTCATGCCGGAATTTTTAGTGATCTTTCATGAAACGAGAAGATTTGTATACGGGTAAAACCGGTCTTGTGATACCCTGATCTACGGCATAATAAGCCAAGTTCTAGATATGATAACAAGGGGCCGAAACCGAGGTAAAGGTCTCATCTATTCGGAGTCCAGGACCATAATGCCCACCCTTGAGAATATTGGGGTCATGGTTCGAGATCGGTCCTAGACCGAATAACTTGAAGAACGTTGTCAGGTAATCAAGAACGGCCAACAAAAGGACGTGATATTCGTGACCGGCCGGATATCACGACGGAGATCTCGGCACGTATCGATAAGAAATCGGCAATCAGTTAATTACAAGATTTTTACCTTTTATAAGAATTGTACCTAGAGTGAGACTCTCTTACTATATAAATGGGGTCTGATGTTTCATAACACACGTTGTGACATGAATTCCAAGGCAATATATATATTTTTTGTCATTAGCTCTTATATCATTCATCAGTACTGGTCACATTGAGCCTGGATCGAGGGTGAACATTTCACTAAGGCTGAAACTGTCTTGTGCGTGTGGTTTGAATTTATTTTTATCTTTGCTTGTTCAATCTAATTCAATTTATTGCTTTGTGTTAAATTAATCCGCATATCCTTAAAACCACCTACAAATTCAATTGTTATCCGATTTTGAGGGTAAACAATTTGGCGCCCACCGTGGGGCTTAGGATAAAAGTGGCTATTTGATACAAACTTCTATAACACACCCTATTTTACACTTGTTCTTTGGAGTATCTTCGATTTCTAATTAAAATTTGAAATGTCGAACTCCCAGGCTGCCCCTCTAAACGTGGATGCTGAATCCGGCCACCATGGCAAGAACAATAATGTAACGTCCGGTAACGAGGTGCCCCGCGTCGACCACAATGGAGTTCCAGTTGCAGACCCGATCGATGCTAGCTCGCATGTGGCCATCAAAGCAAATTTGCATACCGATCCTGAGAACAACATCCATGGAGAAGTCTAATCGATTGCACAAATACGCACGACGACGAAGATGATGGAATCAACTTGCGGGTGATCTTTGTAATGTTACAGGCTCAACAGGCAGCAATAGTCTAGCTCCAGCACCAAAGCCGTGCCCCGAGCAGGATTGAGCCCGAGCCGTCCCGGGAAGTCACCCCCAAAAACGAACCGGTCATGGAGAGACCAAATGAAAGTGAATCGAGGACCAACCCCGAGATCATAAAAATGCTCAAAGAGCTGACAAAACGGGTAGAATTGGGAGAGAAGAAAATCGAAGCCAATGATAAAAAAAGTAGAAACCTACAATTCCAGGGTCGATCAAATACCAGGAGCACCGCTGATATTAAAAGGCCTGGATTCCACGAAGTTTGTCCAAAAACCTTTCCCTCCAAGCGCAGCTCCGAAGCTTATCCCTAAGAAATTCCACCTGCCCGAGATTCCTAAGTACAACGGAACGACCGACCCAAATGAGCATGTGACCTTCTACACATGCGCCATCAAAGGGAATTACTTCGAAGATGACGAGATTGAGTCTGTCCTGCTGAAACAGTTCGGGTAAACTCTGTCAAAGGGAGCTATGTTATGGTATCACAACCTACCTCTTAATTCTATTGACTCGTTTGCCATGCTTGTAGATTCCTTCGTGAAAGCACACGCCGGGGATATCAAGGTCGAGACCAGGAAGTCAGACCTTTTCAAAATAAAACAGAGGGACAATGAGATGCTCAGAGAATTCATGTCCCGGTTTCAAATCGAACGGATGGACCTGCCTCCGGTTGCGGACGATTGGGCCGTTCAAGCCTTCACCTAGGGACTTAATGTTCGAAGTTCGTTGGCTTCACAACAGTTGAAACAAAATCTGGTCGAATATCCTGTTGTTGCTTGGGCCGACGTACATAACCGGTATCAATCAAAAATTAGGGTTGAAGATGATCAACTTAGGGCCCCTTCCGGGTCCTTTTATCCCGTGAGAGCCGTCGATAGAGTCAAGAGAGACATTGATCGTGAACCAAGATCGAGTAGTGATTGTTACCAACCATACAACGGGGACCGAAGAGGTAGCGGATCTGGGCGAAATCCTTTGAGAAATGAAAGGAGGGGTGATTGAGGTCAGAACAACCCAAGACTCATGCACAAAAATAGTTTTGACAGGCCCATCGGGCCTAAGGAAGCACCAAGGCTTTCGGAGTACAACTTTAACATCGTCGCCGCCGCCATCATATCTGCCATCGAACGCATCAAAGACACCAAATGGCCTCGATCTCTACAGTCCGATCCAGCCCAAAGGGATCCTAATCTAATGTGCAAATATCATGGCACTCACGACCACAGAATAGAGGATTGCCGACAACTAAGAGAGGAAGAAGCCCAACTATTCAACGACGGACTCCGAGAGTTCCTAAGCGATCGAGCCAAGGATCAGTTCTGGAACATAGATGCTAATAAACAGATCGAGGAGGAAGAACCTCAGCACGTCATTAACATGATCATCAGAGGGGTAGACATTCCCAGGGGCCGATGTTGAAACGCACCAAAGTATCCATCACAAGAGAAAAACGGACTCATGATTATGTCCCAGAAGGAACCTTATCTTTCAACGACGAAGACGCAGAAGGGATCGTGCAACCCCACAACGATGTACTGGTAATATTTGTACTTATAAATAAATCTCGAGTTAAGCGTGTGTTAATTGATCCAGGTAGCTCGGCCAACATCATCAAATCGAGGGTTGTGGAACAACTCAGTCTACAAGATCAAATCGTGCCTGCAGTTCGAGTCCTAAATGGATTCAACATGGCATGTGGAACCACTAAAGGGGAGATAACATTGCCGGTGAACACCGTCGGGACCATCCAGGAAGCCAAGTTCTATGTAATCGAAGGGGATATGAGGTACAACGCTCTGTTCGGAGGCCATGAATCCACAACATTAGGGCAGTACACTCGACTCTGCACCAAGTGTTAAAATTCCCAATGCCAGGAGGGATTAAAACAATCTACGGAGAACAATCAGCCGCAAAGGAAATGTTCGCGGTCGAAGAGGTGATCCCGATATCCGCACTTACAATGACAAAAAGTTCGGGTTCGATCGCCAAGGAAGAAACAAAATAGCAATTACCAACACCGGCCCCGACTCAACTAGAGAAGCAGGGGACCAATGAAGACGACGACAACGGGGTCCCCAGGTCCTTCATAATCCCCAATGATTCCGACGCCACCCAGTCAACAGTCGAGGAACTAGAGCAAGTCGTATTGATTGAGAATTTGCCCGATCATAAGGTATACGTGGGCACGGGTTTAAGTCCCGAGCTCAGGAAAAAACTCATTCAATTCCTTATAGCTAGCGTGGATTGTTTTGCTTGGTACTACCTTGATATGACAGGGATACCTCCAGAAATAACCACTCACAAGCTGAGCCTAGACCTGAAGTTTCATCTAGT